TAAAGCGTTTTCCTTTCTTTAAAGGACAAATATGTTCCAAATGACCATGAAAATGACAATGTGAGCATTTTATCATTTTTAAATATGATGAATTGGTTTCAGAAACTAATTCTTTTTCCTTTATTAAGCTTTCAAGCTTAACTTTAAAATCAAGATTTTCTTTTTTTAAATCATTGATTTTTCTTTTTGAAAGCTCAAAATCATTTTTCAAATTTTCATTTTGTTTTTCAAAATCCAATTTTTCTTTCAAAAGAAAATCATTTTCAATTTTGAAATCAATTTCTTATATTTGGAATTCATGGTCTCAAATTCTAAATACAATTCATCATAGGCAACTTGTAACTCATTAAGAGAATAAGAATTTGATTCACTTGAGTTAGAAGATACCTCGGGCTCTTCAAGAGCCATTAAGCACACCACCTTTGTTGGTTCTTCTTTCTTGTTTCCATGTATTTCTTCGAGCTTATTCCCAAGTTCCTTGGCATTTGAACATGAAAAAACTCCTTCATAGACATTGGGACTAAATGCACAAAACAACATGTGCATGGCCTTAGCATTTTGTTGAGCTTTCTTCCATTCTTGGGCACTTCACTCCTTCATCTTCTTCTTTGGAGAATAATAGTCATTCTCGATCATCTACCATGCGTCAAGATCATTGGATTAGATGAATAGCTTCATTAATTTATTCCAATGATGGTAGTTGGTTCCATTGAAGTATGGAGGCTTGTCGATCTGTTGGGAGCCTTCTACGTGGAATGAGCTGGAGGTGGAAGCCATCTACTCGGTTGTGTCAGAAATATAGAGCTTCTTCAAGGATCGTCTCAAGGTTGTTAAAGCTTCTAATGAGTCAAGCTATGATACCAATTGTTAGGATTGATGAAGCTCAATTGAACAACCGAATAATTGAGAAGAAGGGGTGAATTGGCCAATTGAAAAATTTTAGGTATGGAGGAGAAATGATAGAAACATTTCCACAAAGATTTATAGTGGTTCGACTTCTAAACCAAGTCTACATCCACTATCATAGCTCCACACTAAGGATTTTCTAACAAATTCACTAATTTGTTATTTCTTTTTCTAGGATCAAGAACAACCTTTACAAAACCCTTAGATTTTCAATGGCTAAACTAAAACCACTCCCTTTTTACAAGGTTAAAAGAAGTAAACAAGAAAACCTCTCAAATGTAGGTGTTTATAAGATTTAAGATCACAAGAAAAACAATTAAAATATTTGCAATGAGCTCAAACACACTTATGTACAAGATAACATGAAAGATAAAGAGTGAAAGATCTTTTCTCTTGATCTCTATTGCTTGGATAGGTGTTGTAACCTTCTTCAAGTGTCCTTAACTTTTTTTTATATGTTGGAATGAGTTTATGGTCGTTTTTAGCCATTGGGGATTAATTTTTTGCAAAATAAAACTGCTTAGGACAGGGAATATTGGTACTCCTTTAATGAGTATTGATACTACCTTTGTAATATTTAAATAAACTAGCCGTTAAAGACTGTTGGGCTTGACCAGTATCAATACAATGCTCATGGTATCGATACCACTGTGTAAAGTAGTATCGGTACCCCCTTGAGTATCGGTACCTATTTTGCATTTTGGAATTTGAACAATTTGGAAAACTATAGGTAATATCGGTACAACCTAGAGAGTATCAATACTTCTCTTACCTTTGTATCGATACCACATGAACAATATCGGTATTGTTCATATAGTATCGACACTGTAAGAACAATATCGATACCTATTTACCCAGAAAACAGTTTTGTGCTCAAATTCTAGTTTAATTGACTTGAATTATTTTTGAAAACTTTGAACAAATTCAATCAAGTCCAAAAACATTTTGCCTAAATTTTTTATATCAAAATATTATAAAACATAGTTCAACAAAAATATTAAATTAATAAATGATTATTTGATTTAAATGATTCGAAAACCAATTTAATAACTTTGAATAATTATTTAATGGAATATAAAATGAAATATTAAAACAATATTTAAATGATTTAAGGATTGATTTTGTCATATCCCAAATTAGGGTCTATTTTTTTCTTAAAATTAATTTCAGGATTAAATTGAAATTTTAGTTAAATTCGGGAACCAAAATGAATTTCTAATTAAAATTCAGATCTAAATTCAGAAAGTAACAAAAACTAGAGGACCTATGGCATAATTATGTCATTTTGCAAATATGTTATGTTAAAATCTAAAAAACCTGAAACTTTCCATTTTTGGAAATCCTAAAAACCTCAATCTCTCATTTCCTCTTTTAGCTAAAAAACTTTAAACGTCATTTTGTCACCGATCGTAGCTCCGTTTGCTACACCTCCCATACCATGAGAATCCTTGTGTTGATCCAAGTCCAGCGGTGTCCGCTTTGTCACCAACGTCCTCGGTATGTGAAGGGGGTGAGGAATGACAAGTTTTTCGATGTTCACTGTTATGAATTGAGCTTGACAAGTGTCTCAAAACCCCTTAAAATAATATTAGAAAATTTTATGTATTTTTTCGACCCCCAAAAGTATCTCACGCGCCGCCGCTACGTGTGGGGCTTGTCCTCCGCCTGTTGGACTTCTAGAAATAAGTCAACCCTACTCGCTTGACCCAACACGACTGACCCATCTGTTAACCCAATCCCAATCCAAACTGGCCCCAAATCCCAACCAGTCCAGTTTGAACCAAACTGAATCAGACAGAACCGATTCAACCGTTAACCGCCGACTGACTTTGACCGTTTACTTTTTTTGGAACCCTCCATCTTGATGTTTTTCGACGTCTTGAGTCTGATTTTGCAGTTTGTTTTGCCAGATTCTGACTCAAAAGACTTGAATCGAGCCTGCTAACCCGAGAATGCTTAGTATGTTTAGCATTTTTACTTTTATTTGAGATTTGAGTATGAAATTGATTCAGAAATATATTTTTATGAAGGTACTCATTTTTCTTCCGAACGAGGTTGACTATATCCGATGCTTTCAGTCAGATAGATCCGTACGATCCACGTACTTCGAGAGTTACTCGTATGTTTTCGTAATTTATTTAAATAGAGGTTATTATTTATCATATTAGGATTGTTATATAGGTTTTTGATTCGTATAATCTAGCATTGTCGCTGATCATGATAGGCAGACCCAACAGTAAGCTACCCGATCAGACCAATATTGGTGTGTTACATTATTGTTTTGAACTACCTATCTGAATTGTTTTAGAATTCTAGCGATATTGAATATTTTTATGATATGATATATGATTTTCTAAATATCGTTGATTTAATATCTGATTTATCGTATATTTTTTATATGATCTCTCGTTACTATATTTTTGTATCTGATTTTGGAATATAAAATATTTTCATGTTTTAATAAGTTAAACTATCGTTTTCACTTGGATACATACATGTTTATTACTGTCATGAGGGTATTATTGGAGGGAAGTATCTTAGGCCTAGTCTATGACTTGTAAAACCTTACCGTAGGCTCCTCTGCTTTGTGCACAAGGTAAGCTCCTCTGCTTTGTGCACAAGGTAAGCCCTTACCTCAGGTCCTTATGCTAAAAGTATAAGGCCCTTACCGGGTGTACATGTTAGTGTATGGTTCAGGTGAACCTACACATTCTGGTGTTTGGAAGGGGGCTAGTGTTCATGTTTTTTTTAATTTGTCTTATAAATTAACTTTTACCAAAGTATTTATATGTATTTTTTTATACACCGCATGGAGCACACTATGCTTTTTAGCTCATTTTTTTAAAATTTTAACATTTTCATATTGTACCAGATAATAGACTAGCAGACTTGGCATCAAGAGGACTGATTACTCCTCACTTTTGTACCACTATATATTTCTATATGCCCTTTTTGTTATATTTTGGTGACACATGTTTTTGCTACTGTTTTGATATATTTATATTACCAGTAATTTGTTCTGTATATGTTTAATGTATTAACCTTATTCATGGTTAGTCCTATATTATACTGTTATATTGGATTTCAAATGTGTTTTAATTATGAAAATAATTTATGAATACAATATGTGATCGTTTAGATTCGGTCGTGACGTCTAGGTCGAGTCGAGGGGTTACAGATTTAAATTTTTTAATAATTAATTAATAGAATCTAAAATTATTATTAAATTAAAAAAAATATTTTTAAATTAAAAGTTTGAAAATTTTACATAAAATCTAAGATGACAAAATTATTATTATTTTTCGAAATAAAAATTAAATTGTATAAAATCATTTAATGGAGGAAATTAATTTAGGTTTATTTAATTATTGAATATTTAACTAAGTATTTGACTTCTAAATTTAAATATTTAATTAATAAAAATAATTAAATAAAATTCAAATCAAATATATATGAATTTTATCTTACCATTTTATTGTTTATAACATTGTTAAAATATAAATAAATAAAAAATATTTATCCATTTTAACTTAATTATCGTATTAAAATCAAATTGATGTTCTATTCAAATTAGATTTAGATAAATTAAATTCATGTTATTTTTTATTCAGACTTTTTTTATTCGAGTTCTTTAGTCTAAGTTATTTTCAGTTCAGATTACTTTCAATTTGAATTATTTTCGATTCAAATTACTTTTAATCCGGGTTCCTTTCGATTTGATTAAAAACTCATGTCAATTTCAATTCAATTTGATTTATTAAAATTTCGAATCAAATCTGGATCATCATATTTGAATCTATATCTAATCTCAAATAAAGTTAATCGATTTGAGTAGCGGACTTGAATCAAATTTACCATGTCTAGCAAAACCATTTTCCAGCCTGTAACAAAATTGTCATCACAAATAAATGATAAAAAAAATCCAAATATGCCTTGAATATTGTAGTCATAGACAAGAGGAACAATCAGCCTTCTTGAAAAGTTATTCACACCATCAAAGTTTATTTGATTTCAGATGAATCCTGGGATATATAAAAAATGCAGTTTGGTATTTGCTTAGCAGATTTTTATTGACATAAGAAACAGCAGACAAATTTCCCAGCTAAGAACTACTGTAAAAGCAAAGTTGGATAAAACAAAGCCACAATTTTTTCACAAGTGAATGGCAAATCAAACTTAAACTTTGACAAAAGAGAAGCAAATATTTGGTCTTCAAGATTCAGATCCCGACTTAACGATGAAATTCTGGCGGCTGATGGGGTTCATCACCACAGGTGGACCAGCCGTGCGTGGCCACGCCTGAAATTTCTTGTCAGTTTCTTCCCACCATTCCTTGTTCGAAACAGTGTGAGGTGTAGTCCCTAGGAGAGGAAGAGTCATAATTTATTAAACCCCCTGGAATAGCCTATATGACAAAATCTACAAAAGTACAGCAACTTACCTCCAAAAATCTTCTGATCAGCAACAAGCTTATCAGCTGCATAGGCAATGGCAAACGATGCCACAATAGAACCAATTATATATTTTGCTGCCATTTTCAAGCTGCAATAGCAAGCCACCTGAAAAGAATGAGTAAAAGTTGCATGGCATTGTGTAACAAAAATTTATTGCCAAAGAAAAAAAAACTTATATTAGCAAATGCAAATTCAAACAATATTCAGGATTTCAGATCTTTATGCATGTTCAAAACAAAATTTTAGGAACAAACAATTGGCTAGCATAGCCAAGTTTATATGCAAATAACTGACTGATAAAAGGTATTAACACACACAAAAAAAAAACCAACTTATGAAAAAAACTTGATCAGCAAACAAAGCCATTGAGATCAACTATAAAGAATGAAAACTAGGTCTTAAACATGTGAAATGTATAATTCAACATCATATTAGACAGATATTGCAACCAACCTCTAAGCCTAACTTATGAAACAAAGAACTAGGGGTGTAAATGAACAGAACGTTCAGTAAACTGTTTGTATAGTATTTGTTTATGTTCGTTTGTTAAGCTAAATAAACGAGCATGAATAAATTTTTTTATGTTCATTTAATAAATAAACGAACATGAACATAGTTATGTTCAATTCATTTATGTTCACAAACAAGCCCATTTATCGACTCGTTCATTTATGTTCATGATAACGCTCATTTACCCGGTTCTCATTTTCTTTTTATTTTTCTTTTACATTTTAAATATTGGCGAAGGTAAAGACTAAATTGAACACATGGTAAAAGTTGAAATTAAAACTTTGAATTTTAAGGAGTTTAACCACTAGGGGCATAATTTTACCATTTTCTTTAGCTTGCAAATGAAAATATAAAACTAAAAATTGATCATATAAACAAACACTAAACAAACATGTTCATGAGGGCTAAATGAACACGTTCGCAAACATTAAACGAACATGTTCGTGAACAATAAATAAATGCACATGAACACCTTCAAAAATAAATAAACAAACACAATATTAAAAATTTAAACGAACACGAATCGAACATGAACACCTTTAAAAATAAACAAACGAATACGAACATAACCTTGTTTGTTTAAGTTAGGTTCATTTACATCCCTATAGAGAACTCAAGTTCAGAAAGGGCTCCATGTATGGTGAACTACAAAACCTCTAATCAATTTCTTGATAATTTCAGCAAGTCTATGTTCAGAAAAAAATTACCCTGCTAATATGAATCCTTGTAAAGAGGTTGAGTTATCCCGAAAAGAAGCACACTGGCAGCACCATCTACTATCATTCAAATTGGTTCTAAAGGCACATGCTCCATGTAGAATGGCTTGGTTGGGTGCTTGTGTTTTGAAGTTTAAGTTAAGGCATTCATGGAAATCCTTAACAACCTAGGGAGTATTGCTCTTAACAGACTAGGATCTCTCAAGAATTTATTATCAAACAATTTCCAGTGTTAATGCTCTCTACAATTACTCCTACCTACAAATTTCCACTTTTCTTGGCAGAAAAAAAATCGATTCCCCAAGTTTCCCAATGAACTAGAAGCAATAAAAACTACTCAAAACCCTAATCTCCTAGGAAACCCAATATATTCAGTGTCCATTCTTTAAGAGAAACCAAAACTAGAAACCCAAACTTTCAAAATGAAACCAATAGAACACAAAAACAATCAATTAGACCCGAAATTACTAATCTTCTGGTCTTATCCAATCCAATCTGACTCAAATCCTTGCAAATCCAAGTCATAGAAAGCAGATCCTTAACCCAAAATCAATGCATAAAATCAAGAAAGCAATCACTCTTTTTCTTCCTAATAACAAACAAAGAATAAATTAAACGAATTAGAAAAAGAAAAAGAAAAACTGGAGCACCATCAAAGATATGAAATCAAACCCATATATCTGGAATAAATAAAAAAAAGGGTGTTACACCCGTTACGATGATCGGGTTCAACACACTTGGGCGGTCGGGTATTGGGTCAAGGAGAAGCAGATATGAAGGTGTCAGAGCTGCCGGAAAGAGAGAACAGATTTGGTTGGTGATTGCTTCGTAAACGGAGGTTTAAAAGCCATTTAGATCAAGGGATACACTCTCTTAATCCGACGGTGGAGAAGGGTCTAGATAATTTAGGGGATGATAGGCCCGAACGTTCTCTGTTAAAAGCCTGGGCAGAGATACTAGTGGTTCACAGTAAAATGAAAAAAAAAGAAGGTAAACTACATAAATGGTGATCATCGGAAATTAACGTATGAGTAAGTTTTTTATTTTTCAAAACGTAAGTTCCAAAAGTAATGAAATGATAATTCGGTCCTCAACAAACGTTAACGTATTATCAAAAGATTGTTGTGGCACGTTTGGGTGGTTGAGTTGGCATTATTTGGTCATATTGACATCCTTTAACCATCCATTTTGACACTCACTTGGTTATTAATGATAGACGATAAAGATCCATTTCTTCGCAAATGGTAGACGATCAAGCTCCAATTTGTAATCCGTCAGCATGTCACTCATCCCTTGCTATAACCTCTTAATCCTAAGGATTCAAATATCACATGACTTTTTAAAAAAAAAAGTGTCACATGAAATAATTGAAATGACTAACCATTTCCTTTTTTTAAAACCATTTACTCAACATTTCAAATAATTTACATTAAGTATGACAATGTAACAATTTACAAAAGTATGACCCTAATTTAAAAATTCAATAAATATATAAAATATTACAAGTTGACTCATTTTTAAATCATAACATCTACATGCCCACTAAATTGTCATCATTGTATTCTGGAACTCCGTTGAGACTCCTCCGATGATATTGTTATTCCCCATCGTGCTCCACGTAACCTGTATCCTAAGAACGAAAACACATTCTAAATGTTGAACTCACAAATTCAGTGACACACAATAACTCTACTATACTACATGAATTCATAATGTAAGTATGTCAACAAGTATAGTCAGGGAAGAAATGCTACAAATGTCATCAATGTTATCTAGTCATGTATCTTATGCATATCCACATCATAATCACAATCTCGATCACAATACAAAAAAAAAAAAAGATGAGTCTTGGGTCACATAACTCAAACATCCATCCAGATAGGTTCGGGTCACATATACATCAAACATTCATTTATAACACATGAGCAAGCATCATGGTATACTTTAGAGTTATACGCACATCACATGACTCACACCCCTCTAGCCTATGGCATTTGTACTTTGGGTGAGACCTGGGTCACAATTGCATCAAGAATGTACATCCAGTGGTCCCAAATGACTAGTACCTTTGGTGAGACATGGGTTACTCTCGCATCAGGAGCATACATCCGACTAGCCTACTCCTCTATAGTAAATGGATAGGTCTAGGTCATAAGAGCATTAGAGCATCATCTGATTAACACACTTTTAGTGCCTTGGCACGAATATTAGGATATCTAGATAACCCATCAAACATATCCATAAAAAATAATCGAAGATCGTCACATACAAGTAACTAGGTGTTCTCATCGTTTTTAGAGTGTCAAATAAAAAGACATAAGTCTTATGAAATCTCACATCACTATATTCTTATGCTTATCACATATATAACATTATCATCACATTATTGTTATCGAGTCTTAATTACCAAGCTCTCATTATAGAGTTAAACATCTCAGCACACATCATTAAACATTCCATTATTAGTCATTCACATTATTATTCAAGTATCATTAACATTTCCATTTTTAATCAATTATAGCAATTTTAGACTCTTCACTCAAGTCTTCTGTCATTATTCAATCACATTGTTAATCAAGCTATCACCCGGGAGCTCAATTTTCAATCATACTTTTATACTCATTCATATTTCTACTCTTCACCTATTATAAGTTTCTTGTCTTTAAGCTACCACTTTTAAGTTAAATGCTCGATCTAAATCTCTATTAGACTTCTCCTCGTTCTCGAGTCTATTTGATATCTCAAAGTCCACTAATCAATCCTTACTGATAATATTGATATCTCTATATGGGTATCAATACTAGCCTATAGGGTATCAATACTTCTTATCGATTATTGGTCCCTAAAATAACATTGTAGTCCACTAAATCTCCTTGGGTATTAATACCAAACCTTTGGTATGGATACCCAATATTCAATATGGATATCAGTCCATCCGATATGGATACCAAGCCTCTAGTATGAATATCAGTTCATCTGATATGAATATTAGTTCATCGGGTATGGATATCAAACCTTTAGCATGGATACCAAGCCTCCAAAATGGATACCAGTTTATCTGGTCTGGATACCAAGCCTCAAATATCGATAACAAACTTTCAACATCGATACCATTCCCTACGATATCGATACCAACTCATGGATATTGATACCAACCCATGGATATGAATATCAAATATAACTTCGATGTTCGAAAATTCACCTTAATATCGATACCACTACCCTTAATATCGATACTAAGCGACTGATATCGATAACTATTCATTCGGTATCGATATTATTACCCATAAAATTCAGATATCACCCATAATATGAACAATATCGATACCAATATTGATAGTTTAATAAATGAAATATGTAATTTACATCAATGTAAGCAAGTATTAATAGTTTAGTAAATGAAATAAGTAATTTACATCAATGTAAACAAGTATTGATAGTTCAATAAATGAAAGAATTAATTTACATAGAAATCAATAAGTATTAATAGTTTATTATTTGAAAGAATTAACTCATATCAATGTAAAAAAGTGTGAATGAAATAACTCGTAATTTAATAAAATCACTTTATATTACAAGTATTAATGTATTTTCTGTAATATTTTTACAGTTATTTCTCTCTTGATTTTTTAAATATATAAAATAATATATTCGATTTTGTAATAGTTATATTTTCATGTAATTTTATCTTTTAAAATATGACTTATATATTTAAATAAAAGTTTACCAGTAAATAATATTATTTCCTTTAATATATTCAAGATTTATTTTTTTATAAAAAATATTCCATAGCATCAAATGCTAATAACGAGTTATTCTATAATAATAATAATAATAATAATAATAATAATAATACTAATAATAATAATAATAATAATAATAATAGTGATGATGATGAGTTATCGAGATATATTTAATAATATTTTAAGTTGAAAATTTTCATATATAATCATATTAATGAATTAAGATATAATTTAAATTAATATATTTTAAATTTTACATACGTTTAAAATAAATATTTTATTTGTTTCAAATTGTTTTCTAATAATATTAAATAATTAAATTTTAATTTCAAGTAAACTTTTTAAAAGTACTTTCCCATAATACTTTTTAAAAGTAATAATAAACTGACTCTTAGACATCAAATAAATTTTAAACACTAAAGTTATAATTAAATTAAATTTATTTACTAGTTAGAACTTAAGCTAATATATAACTTTTTTTAATGATTGGGGAGATTATACAATCATTTTGGAACACAATTATTTATTTTCTTTCCTCTAAACTTCGTTCTCCCGATCTCACCGACTAGAAAGAATATTATTTTTCTTTGAGGTATTGAGTTCAAGGTGTATGTACGTTGTCAATGGTTAAAAAAATATAAATAAATATTACTTTCTAATCACTTCGGACTATTAGAAAAATAATGACACAAAAATAATATTTGGTTGTTAGGGGTTTGACGTATTTTTTTCTTCTTCATATTTTCACTTATTTTTGTTTTCGTTTTCCAGAAATCATTTTCCAATTTTAAAACCAAACATATTTTCTTCAACGTTTTCTATTTTCCAAGAAAAAAAAAATAACTTATATTTTTCTAAAACCAAACGGATCTTATACTTTCTGGATCAAATACCAACTTATTTCGTTGAAGCCACAGGCTCCATATGATAGCTCAGAATAATATATATCCCAATCCTCAACATCTTTTCGAAGACCGAGTCTCTACTTATGTTTTCTTAATTAATTTGAGATAAATATAAAATAATATTTGTTAAAAAATAATTTTCAACAATTTGATATTAAACGTTTACAATTAAATATAATTAAATATTGGAATTAGCTAGTTTGTTTCCACTGTATTTAATGATACAACATTAGCGAAAAATCAATTTTAGTTTTCAGGATTGAGTTAAAATAATAATAAAAAAGACGTTAGACCCAAAAGTAATCTTCTTTCAATATTAAATATTAATTAATATTAACCTTTTCTCATTATTTTAAAATAATGACTCGTAGGTTTATTTTTTTTCATTAGTAAGAGTAGTCTTACCCTACTTCCTCACTGTATTTAAGCATATTAGTATATATAGCATATTAAACATCAATGGAAGAAACTCTTTTATTATATTCATCCAATAACCGAAGGGAAACCCAAACAATGGAAGGAGACTCGTTGAGTAATCTGCCATGGCTGAAACCATTGCTGCAAACTGAATTCTACAATCTATGTGAATGTGAGAGCTCAAAGCAGTGCAGTTTCTTCTGCAGGGATTGCATGGGATCAGCTTTCTGTGAAGAATGCTTATACCACCCTCGTAAACATGTCGGCCATCAAAGTCTCCGAGTAAGTTGTTTGCTTCTCTCGTTGATCTCAGAATAATTATAACATGCATGATTCATATTAGTTGTTTTTTCTGGAAAGGTTTACAAATCTTCAAGCAGACCGGGGCTTAGGGTTCATAGCATAAAGAATTTGATGGACGTTTCTGATATTCAGACTTATACCTGCAATTCTTCAAAGCTTGTTTATATTAACAAGAAAGGGAGGAAAGAGCATGAGAATCGCATTAATGGCGGAAGAGGTGAAAAGTGTGAAGTTTGTGGGTATGAACTTCAGTATTTAACAACAAAGTTTTGCTCCATTGAATGCAAAGTAAGAAGAAGCCTTTTCGTTTGTCTCAAGTTTCATTGATTTTTGTAATTATGGGAGAATAAAAAACGATTTTGATGCTTTGTTTTTGTAGGTCAGTAGTGTGAAAGAAATGATGGAGGAGACAAAGAAGGAAGATTTTGATCCGATTTCAACAAGGTGGCCTAATTCTTTTAGGAAAAGGAGGAGAAA